CCGACGCCTAGTCGGCGTGGTCGGTAGGGGAATTCGTGGGAGATGAAGTCCACTCATCTTAAAGTGGCCAAGTTTGGACAACACTGTTGTACTACAACTCTCAGGAAGAATGGCCAAAGGTGAGAGATGGTGGGAGTTCAGCAACTTTTGGAGGTCCAAGTTGGCTTTGCCTGGCCTAAACTATTGTTAAGATTGATAGCAATGTTTTGTCTAACTTGCATTGCTGAACACGGTATCTAACTGCACCCCGGAATATGCTTGAACCGAAAGCCACCTTTTTGAATAAACTTTGATTCCTGCTCAGTGTCTGCGGCATATGGTACGCGTCAAACCTGAAATCAATCCTGCGATTATTCATGGGAGAAATACACTTGTCAGCCTACCTCACGCAGAGAAGTGGTTTCTCGTATAAAGAACATGTTGATGATTCCCAGGTATTTAGTTATTTTTGCTCCGGGGATGAAAGAAAGAGGCGTCATCTTCACAACCGGCACAGTGGAATTCATTCCTGAGGGACCCAGACGGTTACGGCACTGCCCTTCTGTCATCGGACTTGGCTTGTCAAGGGAGATGGCTACACAGAGCAGAGAGACAGAGAGAAAGGACCCTCAGCTCAGCCACTCGAACTCCGAACAAACCGGATGAAGGCAGCTCCAACAGAGGAAACCTTCCACATGGTTGCGACAGAGCTGGGTGACCACATTCAGCTGCCTGTGATGCTCAGCCAAAGAAAGCAAATTATCATGCAGCACATGCAAGTGAGAGGCCAAAAGCTTGGATGGGGTTTGTTTTGGGAGAAGAGAAGCATTCCTGCAAAAGGAAACACTGAGGCCAGAAGCTGCACATACAAATGATCGGTTATAAAGTGGATCTACAGAACAGGGGATGGGGACAGCGGAGGGATTCGAAAGGGTCTCAAAATTTGATGAACGTTTTCTGCAGGAAGGAACGACAAAAGTCTACAGGAAAGAGTGTGAAAGTTGACATGTTTCTCCATTCCACATTGTTTTCAAATTTGGTCTAAACTCTTCATGGTTGCCAGCTTCCATCTAAATCGTCATCTTGAGCAAATAAAGCAAAACCGTTACCCTCGCCGTCATGGAAGTACTTAAAGAAGAATTTAAAAACTCACCATGGATTAATTCACTAATTACAGCCATGCAGGTCATGCAGGGAATCCTTGCATGTTATGAATAATTTCATTAATGTATATTTTCTGCCACGCAGAGTATATATACTCTTTGGGGGGACTACAATTCACAAGCCTATTTGCCATCTATACATGTATTGGCAATTATTTGGAGAGCAACGTGCTCCAGAATTAAGAGTTTCGGGACAGACGCCGTGGGTCTGCAGCTTTCACACTCGGACACTGATTTTGCAACGCCACTACTGGGTAGAAAGCTCCACCCTTTGCCACGGAGAGATCAGAATCTAGGCTTCCAATGATCAGAATGGGGTAGAAATGGCTGCCTACTTGTCTTAATTGATCCACGCCTTAGAGTTTGAGCTTTCAGTTTAATGAATTCTATCCAGCTGTTGCATCTGTCTGCAAAGGAACTGTAATCAACTGAAGTGGCTGGAAACACAGACAGAGAAAGAAAAGGAAAAAAAAACAAAGAAAAATATGGATGATGCCCCTTTGCCCATTGAAGTGTTCCTTCTGATGAACCCGTTATCTGTATCCAACAGTTATTGGTTTTCCCAAGCCTTTCAATGAAATTTGAATGGTACGCTATTCTGGTGGGATATGAACCAGCTGATATTGATATTGATATATATATATA